CCAGGGATGCAAACTTCCAAAACTGTGGGCCAAAACAAAGCCTTCCTCCTGAAGCTGTGTGTGTCAGCTGCGTATTTTGTCCTCACAATGAAAAGCTCACTAACACATCATTCCTGCAGTGTCTCCTAGCTCAGTCCTTGTACCCCATGACCTGCATATCACTCTTAACTCTGCATTCCATCAGCCTCCTTAACCAGTTCCTCATGTCTTTGTTCTTTTCAATTCTCTTCGACTAGTGATGACAAACCTTTTAGAGAGTCAGTGCCCAAACTGCAACCCAAACCCACTTATTTATCACAAAGCACCAACACTCCAATTAAACCTGAATACTGAGCTTTTAGTTTAGAAAAAACACCTGCTATCCAGTGCTTGGCTGCTGGGGCAACTCGGCTTTGTATGCTAACACAGGGCGCTGCATGCCCGCTGCCATAGGTTCACCACCGCTGTCTCAGGCTTACTTCTAAATGTCTTAAACACACTGAGTTCTCTCTTTATGTGTGGCAACTATCCTCGTCCATTATTTTTTCAATCTGAACTGTCGCACCTGCCACCCAATTGCCACCCATCCTCCTCCCATGCACCACCTGACTTATTCTCCAAATGGCAGCGAAGTGTTCTCAAAAGCTGGAGTCCCCTTACCATGCTGTTCTGCTTACAATCTTTCACTGACTCATCATGGCTCTGAATGACGTGATTTCACTCAGCTTTTACCTCTAACTTTATTTACTAGGTTCCTGCTATACTAGTTTTCTTTAAAAGTTCTCTGAGGACTCACATATTCTTTTTAGAGATTTAGTTCAAGGAGTACCCTCTTCCTATCCCCTGCCCTTTTACCTAATTTTAAATTCTTTGGAGCTCATCAAAATGCTACTTGCTGAGAGAGATCTTTCTTCTCTTACACATCCTTTGCTTTTCCTTTAAAGCATCCAGTTTAAATTATATATTTATCTTTATGATTTATGTCTTTTGTGAAAAAAAGAAAAGTCTCCCTACCATATGCCAACCTGCATGCAGGCAGGGGCACTCACTCGCTCACTGCCATATCCCTAGCAGCCAGCTTGGCGCCTGGTTCATTACAGACCAACAAATACTTGTTAAATGAACAACTGAATGAATCCTTATTATATTTCTCACACTCCTTATTTTATCATTCTCTTTCCCCCATCTTTATTCTTCTCTGAAGACATATCAAGGCAGCAAGCAAAAGAAGTGAGGTGATGTCTTATAAGAACAATTACATTAAATATGTAAGAAGTGAAAGGAAATCAATACTTCAAATCATTAAATATACAAAAGCAATCAGCCAAGGATACAGTCTCCCTTGGTTTCATTCCATTTTCAATTCACTTTTTCGTTCAAGTTTAAATTCTATCACTTTGATACAAGTGGTCCTAACCTGTAATATAATTCCAGTCTAGATTCCTGACAAACTTTGTTTTGTTTCTTTCTCTCTCTTTTTTAAACAATGTAGAGGATTGAACTCAGGGGCTCATATATGTCAAGCAATTCCCCCACTGAGGTACATCTAGTCCCTCTAGACCAACATTCTCATCTGTTTCCTTAACTTAGATACCAACTGGTATTTGAACTTAAAAGGTCTGAAACCAAATTCATCATCTTTCCTTAATGTACCATTTTATTAAGTTTCTTTTTTCCATGACTACCACACTGACATCTACTAACTATGTCATCTGCATTTGGAATCCTTTTTTTTTTTAAGATCCATATAAGTCAATGGCCAGGTACTACAGATGTCACTCTACAAACTCACTCAATTCCTCCTCTTCACTCCTGGATGGATATGAAGCCTTCTGCACAGCCACATCTCCCTGGTCTCCTCTCTCCAATACAGCCTGTGCACCGCTACCATTTGTTGAGCTAAAACACATCTCTGAACAAGTCACACTCCTTCTTGAGAAGCTCAGTATGAATGAGACTGCCACTAGCCCAGTGTTTCTCAATATTTAACCCATACCTCTTTTCAAAAAATCTCAGACCCTTATTTTACATTTCATAGAAGCAAGATTTTGACTATTTCTAAATATAAAATAGTGAAGTTCAACCTGTTTTTTCAAATGACTCACAATACTCCCTGCTGTATCTGAGAATCAATATTATTAGATTGCAAGCCCTCTGAAGGTAGGGCTTGGGCCAGTTCCTAGTACATGGTAACCACCCAATATATGTTTAGTAAATAGACTACTTAACTTGACGTGTTATAAATTCAGTCTACTTAGCCAATTTTATATCCTATTACTCTTTACTTCTACTTCATCAGCTGGTCAAATTACTCCACTGGGTCTCAAAGCAGAGTCACAGGACCACCAGTATCAGGATCTCTTGGGAACCCATTAGAAATGCAAAGTCCTAGGCACCATCCTAGACTTACTGAATAAGAACTTCTAGGAGTAGAGTGGTGGCACTTGTCTATAAACCCAGATACTGAAAAAGTTGAGATAGGAGGTTCTCAAGTTCAAGGCCAGTCTGGATAATTTAGTGACACGTCTCAAAATTTTAAAAGTGCAAGGGGTTTAGCTCAGTGGTAGAATGCTTATTCAACATGCACAAGACCCTGAGTTCAGGCTCCAGAACTGCACCCCTAAAAAGCAACTCTAGGAGTAGAGCTAGGAGATTTGTATATTTATAGGTACTCTAAGTGATTCTAATGTATGCCATGAAACTCAACTATTATTCTTGTATTAGCATTATCCTTCCCATTTCCATGACCATTCTTGTAATTCCTTCTACATGGAAGCACCTTATAACCTTTTCCAGGACCTGCATAGTGATCAGTGTGTTTTTTGATAGAACAGCCAAAATTCTACAATGTCTACTTGATAGGCTTTAGATAACTTCATTGAAATTCTTTTTATTGACACACTGTATTTCACACTATATTAGGAAATGAAAGCTTACTCTTAGTTAATAATGCTGATGTTCTAAGACAGTACACTGAGTATAATTTTGCTTATTTTAGAAGTAAATCGTATATCATCACCAGCAGCATTCAAAACATTTCAAGTTATGCCGTTTTGTAGGATGTTGAAAGGAGGTACTTGTTCTCAGTTTCAAAGTCATAAGAATTAGAAGCATCAGACTGAACAGTATCAATTTTCCACAGCTGATGATAAGTACTTATAAATATTTATCTATTCAATTACTAAGTGTCAAAATCACACAGTGGGTCGTGAGAGCCAGGGGAGACAACCGGGTAACCTCGGTGGCAATGAGGCGAGGAAAGACTTGCCCTTGACAGGCAAGTTCTTGTACAGAAACCTTTAAGCCTGGGAGAAAGAGAAGTTGGTTTTTCCAAGCCGAAGAGAATTCATCTAAAGGAATCACAGACTTAAGCAGTGGGAAAGCCCAAGTCCACTTACGGTTAGACCAAAGGTCCTCACATTATGCCATTCATCTGTGTAGGAACACTCAAGACCTGCTGATGGCCATGAGAACCATTAGGGACAACACAGTATGTATTTAGGCAGAACCACTCATTCCAGTTAATCTATCTGATCGCTAACCAAGTGTATCAGTCAGCTTTACCAGTTCATGAACATGTTTTCCTAACAAACTGTGGTAAAGAACATGCTCAGGACAAAGATATAGTTTAAATATATGAATATTTTCAAACTGAGGGTAACAGAAAATGTAACTATGTAACTCTCAGTACATAAAGCAGGCTGATAGCTCTTGCTAATATAAAAGCGTTAAGATGGGCTAAGTAAATGATGACAAAAAATCTCCAACAAGATTTATTGCTTGTGTTCAAAGACTCTCAGAACATGTGCTGAAACAATGAACTTTTAATTCTATGGTTGGCAATATCCTTCTTCAAGTTCTGGTTTTAGTAACAACTTTTAACCTTTTAATTTATTTAAAAATTATAGGTCAAAACTGTTTTCAGTAGTAAAATATCCAAATTCCAACCCATACTTCAGTTATTTTATGTACAAACCACCACTATAATGTAATTTTTATAGTTGTAGAATTTTAGAGGCTGGAAGGATGTTGAGACTATGCAGTCTTATTCAGTGGTGGCGAACCTATGGTAGTCATGCTGTAGCAGGCTGTTTATATCACTGAAAGCTCTGAAAGGTTCACCATCACTGTGTATCATCATTATGTTGAAGAACTAAGATGTCTATGCAACTTCAGTACAAGAAGCTTGATGATCCTTTGGAATTAATATAAGAGAGGTAGCATGAAAACTTTCTAATATTCTATGTCAAAATTTAAATCCACATATTCTAATTCTATCCAGTATGAAATATTGAGTATATGTCACTTTTAAAATTAAAAATAAAAACTAAAAGACAGAAAGATTTTAATACTTAAATTACCTAGTGTAGGAAAATTTCAGTAATATTACTATGAAAAAAATACTACTACGTACATAGGAATATTGTTTTTTCATTTTTCATTTGTTTTCAGTACTGGGGATCAAACCCAAGGGCGCTCTGCCACCAAGTTAATCCCGATCCTTTTAATTCAGTTTTTAAAAATATTGAGACAATGTCTCACTAAGTTGCCCAGGCAGGACCCAAACTCAAGGCCCTCTTGCTTTAGCCTCCTTCACTGCTGGGCTTACAGGCATGAACCACTGTGTCTAGCTTGTTTTTTTGTTTCCTTTAACATTCAAACATAGTATTTTATCTTCATAATGTCCCATAATATAGAGTGGAATATAAGAGTTAAGAAAAAAGAAAGGTTGTAAGCAGAGAGTGACTCTAATTTAACACTTGAAAAAATATCAAACCTTTTAATGATATTTCTTTGAGAAATTTAGCCTTTAATATTGTTACTATACGTCTCAAGAAACTGAGGCACAGAAAGATAAAAATTATAAAGTAGGAAAAATGAGACATAGCCTTCAATTTTAGGCTACAATTTTTGAGTTTTATATCTTAGGTAAAATTTCAAAAACTTCCTTTGTTGAAGGAAAAATAAAGGAACACATATGCCTTATACACAAAGACCTGTGTGCATACCCGTGAACATACCTATTGTTGTTCCGACAATTTCGACAGTTAACACATTCCAGAGGGTCAACCTGAGGGATTGCTGTGTACATTCTGCTGCCCTGGTCAAGAACGAAGTCCAAGAGAAAAGAAAAGAAGAAAGTGCTGAAGGCACTGTAATCCATTAGCCAAATAACCACAAGTACATACATCATGTCAATAATGAATGGGTACCTGGTACATCTGAACCTACTCCCTGAGCAAAACTATGCTTATTATTTATTACGCAGAAATGAATTCTGTATAATATGAAACTATACTCCAACAACTTAACTCTCATGTTTTTCCATATATTTCTGTACTGGAAAAAAAGGCAAACGAAGGGAGAAGGTTAGTCACTTGCCTCCAATGTTTCAAATCTACTGGGCCCCAAATATACCATACATCATAACCTCCTATTCATTTTTCTTTTTCTAGCAGTCACGGAAAAGCTTTAGGTGGTGCCAGTTGGAGAAACAGGGTGTGAAGTCTGCTTGAATGATGTCACAACAGCAACCCATCTTTACTTTCCTGTAATTATTTTGATTAGGTCTGTTCACTTAGCTACAGTAAGTCTTAAAACATGTCATATTTTTCCAGATGGAGTAGATTCTCAGCCAGCAATGACCTGGGGGGCAGCATTAATATTTTGATGTTGCTTTTGGCGGAAACTGCCCAGCAATTAAGAAAAATGCCCAGATTAACACATACCTCATTGTAAAATATTCACTTGACATAAACAATGGCAAACTTGAAGTTAAAAACCGAACTGGCCTTACAGTTAGAGTCAGATTCTGATTTTTGATGAAAAACAGCAGAACTGAACTTGATAAGGGTGGCAGAGGTTGTCACACTGGACTCAAACCCAAAGTAGGCCTTTAACATTGGGAAAAGCTCAGGCAGTTGTTTTTCCTAGAATACTTTCCATTTCCATTCATCTCAGAACAACAGCCAGAATCTAAACAAACCAAAACACTGAAAATTTTCAGCTTTACTGATCCATCTAGCAGCAGGAATTATTAAGAAAATACCGAGACTATTCCTAGACTATGTTCATGCGAGTGAACTCCAAAGATTCAGAAAATGAAGTTTACAACCTATAGAATAACCTATTTAGTTGAACCACTAAACATGTTAAAGTTAATGATTTTTATGAACACTAGCATTAAATTCCCTATTTCCTCCCACCTAAAGATAAGAGTAAGAAAACAGGTTAAAATCATAGATGATAACTTCTAAAGTTGTATCCTTAGTGGGGCAACTATTATGTAGATAGCAAATCACTGTTCAAAAAACCCCAAGTTCCATGTTCAAGCACTATAGCAAACATTAGCCTTGTTTTTTCTCCTTATGGAAACAATGTGGGCTACCCAAAATTTAATGCTCTCTCCTTCAGCTTCCTTTGTAGTGTTTGTAGCTTAGACCAGAAATGGTGGCTGAAAAGTTTAGGAAGTCTGAATATAAGCCCTGACATTCCCCATAAATAGTAAAACCATTATCCTCTTCTGATAAATAAGATCCACTGAAGTAAATTAGATACTTTTTTCTAAAAAACATACAAAACGTGAGTCATGTAAAAGCCATAGATTTCCAGCTTTAAGGTACAAAAATGCATGTCAGTCTTGTTCTCCAAATGCAGTATTTGGAGATGAAAAAAAACTAAATATTACTTCAAATTATAGCACTGTATAGATGATGACAAATTTATCCATAATCAGAACAATGACAAAAATCTAAATGAATACTTAATTTGATCAACTAAACAAGTTATTTGTTTAGTTAAGAACAATACGGGAGCACTTCCAACCAATATTAATAAACCGGATTTCCTAGTGCTAGAGAATACTTTTAACCAGCACAAGTATGAAATATGCCAGTTATTCTATGCCCATTTCAAACATTAAACTATACTAGCTAGTTATCTCTAAAATAAGGTCATTTTAAGGGCTTGTCACTCCTTGTGGCTAAATACTAATATTGTAAAATGCAAAAAGCTTACAAGCCACAATGACAAAACACATTGGAAAAACAAACAATAACTTATGATAGGTCAGAAGTCACAACCTGGTTGCTTGTAGACATGTTTTGTGTGGTCTTCACAATGCTCTGAAAAATCTGGAGCCAGAGGTGTAGTTCAGTGATACAGTCCTTGCCTATCATGTCCAAAGCCCTAGGTTCTATCCCCAGTACCACAAAAAGAGTGAATTCATTCTGAGCACGAATATATCTAGTGACTTCACCTGGATTTACAGACGTTTTAAAGGATCAAAAACCCTAGCAACACTAGGCCCCCTTGCCAGCTGCAGGCACTAAATTGAAGCTGCTTAACAAGGTCCCTAGGTTGCTACCCCTCATTCCCAACTTGCTGCCACTTCCCTATCTCGCAGACTTCTCAGCATATGTATTTTCATATTCTCTCCAAAGAAGCTGAATGTAAAATATCTGCTCTGCTCTGTGCCCAGTGGTTTTACCATTTTATCTCAAGAACAACTTCCGCTGTGTTCTTTACTGATATACTACTTTATGTGTTAAATAATTTAAAAATAGAAATCAAACTGACAAATACAACTATTACCTAGATCAAGGGACTACTGGTGATACATACTATTTATACCCATGGAACCTGCATGGTTTCTGTAACAAGAAAGTCAAGTGATGACCCTCCTCTGGTAGTTGGCACCCTGAGACCCAGAGGGGCTGTCATTTATAATTTGGTCTCTTACATTTACTAGATGATGAGGATGTTCAAACTCCACATGTGTCCTGGTTAGTGAGTTGGTGTGTGCAGGGTAGAGCCCTCCATTTAAGCTCCCGTTGACCATGCCACTGACTCCATTAGGCACCTTGTGATGGAGATGGGCGCAGCCATTGCTGAGGCTGCCGTTGCCCAGGAAGCCTGCGTGAACACTTCCGTTGATCCGGCTGGTTCCCGGGAGAGTAGCACATTCCATCATCTGCCCATTGATATCTGACCCTTGGTAGAGATACCTCGGTGGGTCATATTCTGTTAAAAGAAAAAAAAAATGCAAAAAATAAAAGAAAGAGTCAGATACTGAAAGGAATAATCTTCTTGCTTAGGAAGTTTCAATACTGAAACCCCTGAGATGCTACACATAGATTAAAATAAAATATTCTGAAACACTGCCATAAAGCCTACGTTAGAGATGTACTTTAATAAAGTCACTACTGTTTTCTTCACAGTGTGGAGATATATAGAAACTGTGAGTTAACTATGATTCCGCCAGTAGGAAGAAAAATTAACCAGAGAGAAATCACCCAAGTGAGAAAGAATAAATTGTATGATCTAAAACCATCGAAGTATTGGCAACACTAACAAACAATGCTTAAATGCCTACCTGTTTCAAAGGGCTTAAAAAGCATGGTGAAAGCAGCAAATAAAGACTAACTTTAGATAGGATATTTCAAGTAACAACAAGCAACATTTTAAAGAAAAGGACAGTGTTTTATACATTCACTGACTATTCACATAGCCTGTCAGCCATTATAGCCCATTTGGAGGTTGTACAGTTCCAAGCAAAAGGCTACAATATTTCCTTATATTAAAAGCATTTAAACACATTCTGATTTCTGTAAACACCATATTAGATATATTTAGAAAAAGTAAAATATCCCTTAGAACCATAGTATCTAAACTGTACAGTATTTGTTGTTGAGGGTTTCATACTTTCGTCAAAGGCATTTTAGATTGCATTCCTGTACTTTCTCAAGCAGGTATACATTCAGTATGCCTGTTTATCTTCTCCACCAACCTACAAATTTTGAGAAGGCAGGGACCACGTTTATTTTAATTTATCATTTGTCCAGCATAATACCTGGCACACAGAAGACAAGTCAATGAGTTATCTTCTGGTGAAATGAAGTAATGTCAACAACTTATTCAACACACATTTTTGTGATTTCACACACACTCACATAATTAGAGGTAAGAGCATCAGAACCATCTAGAAAAAGGGTCAGTCAAATAATCACAACCCTTTCAGCCTGACTTCATCACCTCTCTCCATCTGTTGAAAGGTACTATTTCTTTTCTTGAGCTATTAACTAAATGGCAGCCATATGATGAATAGGGTGACAACCACTAGAAGTGCCTGTCACTAGGGGTACCCTCTTGTTTCCTTTCTTACCCTTATTCTAGGGCTGAAGAGGAAATTGAAAATCTTTTTCCCACCAAAAATCTAAAATCCCTGTTTGATTTGAATATCATATTTTATAATATCTGAGGGAATAGGAGACATGAGCTACTAATTTCATAACAGTGCCACCACCAACAGTGCAAGCACATATATTATTAGACATTTAGCAGGGAGTGGACGCCACTCCAGAGCAATTTAGGTACAATAAGTGCACAGACATGATCATGTAATCTCCACTTGTATGATTCAATGACAGTAATTTTGAAAAGTCTTCACTGCGTTCCTTGGAATCAAGCCCTTTCTACACCCCTGCTGGCCAGATTTACACCAACTAGAAGCTGCTCCTCCAGCAACTCCAGAGCACACGTTTCCAAGGCTCATCCTCTTTGGTGGTCCCACAAAGCCAGAGTTTCCTAGCACTAAGTCAGCTATTTACTTAGAGACCTGCTTAGTTTTGGCTTTGGTGTTTATTACTGGGCAATTTAATTTGATGCTCCACTTACTTTGGCTGACAGCTAGCATGGTTTTAAAGTCATCTCCTCTGAATGAAGGGTATCTAACGGGTTTCACACCATGACACTAATACATGCAAGTATTAAGAATCAATATTTATTCTCACAATATTTTTTCATACCATCTTTAGAAAAATACAAGGACATACTTATAAATGACTTACTCTGTATGGCATTCTGTTGGCGACTCTTCCACAGGCACATTGCAATGAAAACCATAAGAATGAGGACCATGACACCAAGTACACAGCCAACGATGAGATACAACATGTCACTGCTTCTGGTCAGACTAGTTGCAGGCCCAATGTTTCCTCCATTTCCGGAAGAACTTGGAGGCGTGCTCAGGTCTTTGATAGGATACTCGGAAGCTCCAGGGACACGTTTCACTAGTTGAAATATAAAAGAAAACATGATGTCAGAGTGAATACAGAGTCGATGAAATGGTTTACTCTCTGAAGGAGGTCTGGTGAGGAATTCAAGCCAGTCTGTTTACACTCCCTGCTGAGATGATCTGACCACCAGTGAGTCACAAAGAAGGCTCCAGCTTACAAACCTAATGTGCCAATGTTTTAGTCCACAAATTTTAGAGAAATCATGAGTATCGAAACACACACACTTGGTCTAAATTAAACTGCTACATGATTATCTACTTAATTGTACTTGTAGAAGACTCCCAGAGCCTTGAAGTAAAAGTACTTCAGCTTATGAATGGAACAAAAACTCCTTTCCATCTGACGTACTTTGCACTGATTAAAACTCAGAATTATACACTTCATACTTTTACTATGTCTTAAAAATAACCACATAAGAAAATATGGTTTTTCACTATTAGAATGGCTACATATAATCTGCAAATTCCATGCTTAATATTAAGCATTCCAAAAATAAAGGTTTTGGGAGTCTATGTAAATGTGATACTTTTACCTAATTCACTGGTATTCTGGGCAGTATTTCTAAACAAACAGGTGAGACGTGAACCTATTCTCTCCATTCCCAAATCATATGTTCTCAATGCTCTAAATGTCACAGAAAAGTGGTAGAGCACAGGGGTTGACAGCATGGTCTCTGAAACCAGATCACCCAGATTTATATTTTATTTCTACCATTTGTCACTAGCTGTATGACTTTTACCATCAGGAACCCCACCTTCTGCATTTGGAAAGTGGGGATAATAAGTTCTATCACAAGGTGTAAAGAAGAGTGCTATGGCTTGATGTCACCTCCAAAACTCATGTTGAAATTCAGTTGCCATTGTAACAGTGTTAAGAAGTAGGACATAGGTGTAATCCCACTAATCTGGGAGGTTGAGGCAGGAGGACAGCAAGTTCCACTCTAGCCTGGGCAACTTAGCGAGACTCTGTCCATTTTTTAGACAGGTGCTCTAGCCAACATATATAGTTCCACTGGGATAGTCTACATATGTGTACCTAGAAAATGGTCCAAAGTAGGAATTTCCTTAGGAAAATCTATCAGTAGTCCAAAAAAGTGATCCAAAGTTTGGAACTGTAGCACTGCCCAGGGAGAAAACACAGATTCTCACTCCACTCTTACCTTTAGTTTCACAGATCATCACGTTGCTAAACTCGCTCTCTCCTCCTTCATTGAAGCACTGCATTTTAATGTCATATGAAGTTTCTGGCTGCAAGTGGCCAATCATGTGCCACTGCTTTGACCCTAGAGGAAAAAAAATAAAGACAAACTGCCCATCATATACTCTAAATGATAATATTAATGTAATTCCTCAATATTTTCAGAATGAGATTGGAATAGCACCCATTACTACCTCATACAGCGTGTGGGATAAAAACATACTTCATATAAGATTTTAACAGTGTACCGTTGATAAACAGCACTTCTACTAAGTGACATGAAACCAAGTAGAGATGAATTAAAGCTACATTTGTTATCAGTAATTCTTATTTTATTAAAAAAATTAGTGGTCTTTCATAAAATCACGTTAATTTTATGCGTAAGTAAAAAGATACCTTAAGTCTTTTGGCCCTTTTTTATTACCAGCAAGTCAACCCATGTGTACACCTACCAAAAGCAATACCACAAATGAATCAGCAAACAGTGCACTACCCATAGCAAGGAGGCACTTAAAAGCAATGCCTTCGCAAAACTCTCGGTTTCATTACCACAGGCACGACATGAACTGACAGACAAACAAATGCCTCAGTAAACAACTGAGAATCAACCAAAAGCAAGCTCTCCTACAGGAAACCCTCAGCCATTGCTCCCAATGCTATTTTTCTATTGAGTCACGGTCTCCAAACTGTATAAGGATCTCTAATAGAATGATTCTCTTATTCATGGCACGCAGCCAACATTTCACTTAGAAACACTCCTAAACTGAACACTCGGGGATAAATTACTCTCCGTTTTCACTTCCATGGACCTGTGACAAACTTCCATAAATAGGGACACTTTTACCAGATTTAATGAACTCTTTGAGCACTCTTAATCCCCCCTAGAAAACAACTCTTCAAACTGTTTCCACTGTTACATAGAAATTCAAGTATACAACCAACTGATTTAAGAATTAATTAAAGGGAGAGAGGGAAAAACAAAACAAAACAAAACCACACATGAAAGTCCAATCTGCTCAGCTGACAGACCAGTACAGTATCCCAGGCTCCTTTCTAATTCAACACAGACAAAAATATTTCAGTCTGGAAGCATGACCTTCTTTCTGTGTCACCTACACAAAACCCCTCTCACATGCACTCTCACATTCTATAAGGCAGAAAAAATTCTGCTTGCTTTAGGATCAAGGATCTCTGAAAGGTTCAACAAGTAAGGAATTCTGTGCCTCATTTATAAATGTAAAGAGAGCCCCCCTGAATTATTTTTACTCAAATACTGGTTGAAGCTGGAAAAGACCTATTTCTAAATCCCAAAAGCTTCCCCTGAAGACTTCTATTTTTACTTCGGCCTTGGGTCTTTCCTGACAGGTCTCACACTCACCTACTGTAAACATTCTTATGAATGACTGCTCCCTAGGCCTGAAGTCTTCCTTTCACAGCACTAATGAGAATGCAATTGAACCAGCCTTCTGATATGTTACTAGGACAAGTTTTTATATACAGTTAGATTCATATTCTATTGTTATGATAATTCTTCCAATGGCTAAAATTATAAGAACTATCAGCAAAGAGAAGGAATTTTTACTGATCAAGTGCATTACTAGGTTTCAAATCAATCAATCAGTACATATCCATTGCTAAACAGGCAGTTATTTTCCAAAAGGATGTTTTAGAAAAGGAAAAGATTTACCAAAGAGAGAAACAAAAACAGGGACTTAAATACCAGAAAAATCTCTGATACTCCAGAACCTGACTCCACTTTACAAGATAAAAAGTATTCAGCACAAAAGTTCTGGTATGTTGGACACAGAGTTTAAATGTGGAACTTAATTCAGAAAATGGGATGCTTAAATAATATAATTATTCTTTTACTGTATTCCAAGTTAATTGTTTCA